TGTGGCTGCGGCCAGCCCCCCCCCTGCCAATGCAGGGGACGTGGGTTTGTGCCCCGGTCCGGGAGGATCCCAGATGCCACGGAGCTGCTGGGCCCGTGAGCCACGGCCGCTGAGCTTGCGCGTCCAGAACCTGTGCTCCACAACTGGAGAGGCCACAACAGTGAGAGGCCTGCGTAATGCAAAAAAAAAAAAAAAAAAGAGTGGTGGTTCTTAACTTTCTAACACTTCAGGATTTTCTTCAGGACCTGTTAAAACACAGTTTACTGGATCCCATCCTTAGGATTTTTCTTGCAGAATGTTTTGAATAAGTCCCGAGAATTTGCATTTCTAACAGGTTCCCAGGCGATGCTGATTGCCACTAGCCCCAGGGACCATGCTTTGAGAACTGCTGTGTTAGAAGATAGTGTAATGTTAACAAAGGATATGGTTCAAAGTGGAGGTTTTGATCTCATGAGCCTGTCTGCATCAAACAACATTATATCTAAATATACAAAATAAATTCAGAAACACAATGAATTGGAAGGATTGATCACAACATTTAGTCTTTGAAAGAGCAAGGAGAGAAATAAAGGTTATATAGAGTTTGAATAATACAATTAATACAGTTGATCTAACAACTTCAGAGCCTACAAAGAGCAATAATGTATCTTTACCGTGGTCATGAATCAGTTAACAACAATTATTTAGCTACCAAAATTTTTAAAGCTTCTATATTGCGAGAAAAGAGCATAAACAGACTAAGAAACCAATTGAGAAAACATACTTGTAACATGTCGAATGAAATGTTGATGCCCTTAATCTATAGAGTTCTTAGCGATTTTAAAAAGGTAAACATGCCTACAGAAACATTGACTGTAAACACAAATAGGAAAGTCACAAAAGAAAAACTGTAGTTCATTAATCCTCAAAAATAGCTTCCTTAGAACTCAAAGAAATGGAAAATAAAACCAGCAGTGCAATGTATTTCTCCCTATCGGGCACAGTAAGAAGATGATAGTACTTAATGCTGGCTACAGTATATGGAAACAGTCATTTTGAGATCTTTCTGATGGGGGCGAAAATTGGCCCAGTCTTTCAGTAAGTAGTTGGTGCTGTGGTGATCAAAGGCCTTAAAAATGCAGACCCTTAATTTATCCTGAGGAAATATGTGCAAAGATTATGAACAATAATCTTTATTTTGCAGTGGTGTGCAAAAATAATGAGCAGATGTGCAAAAATTTCTACGAGGATATGGATCACAGCATTTTTTTATAAGGGAAAAATTTTGAAACAATCTCAATGTCCTCTGGTTTAGGAGACTGGCTCAGCAAATTCCAAAGTCCAGTGGTAACCAGGCAGCCAATAAATGCCGTCGAGATCGATGTTTATTGATTTGAGCAAGATGTCTACAAAATATTGTTGATTGAATGCACCAGGTTACAAAGAACATATAGATCAGGACCGGCTAATTCAAGGCCCGTAGAAGCCAGAGGGCTGACGTCAGTGAGAGATGAGATGGGAGTGCAGGGTGGGGTCCGGGGCAAGTGGCCAGGTGAATGCTCCACCCTATGGGGTAGCTGCTGCTCTTTTTTGGGGATTATAGATGATTGAAGTTTCTCTTATATTTAAAATTTTGTATTTGTATTTATCAGTATTTTATAATTTTCCCCCAGTGAACAATATTACATCAGAAATTTTTAAGAAGAAAGAAGTTAGGCAGTGCCAAAAGAGAGGTAAAGATGAAGTCCGGTGGGACCCAAGAGGAAGACGTGGCCCCTTCTGCCAGGGGGTGGGGGGGCGTTTGGGGGCAGGGAAGGCCCTGGAGACAAGGTGACCCACATGTGGCCATTGCAGAGGGCAAGGCTTGAAAAGGGGCTGATAAAGAGGTTGGCACTGGAGGTCAACTCAGGACACCACACATTTCCTGAGCACCGGGGCCTGGGGGTGGAGCGATGGAGGAGGACAGCGTGTGCCAGGTACTGTTCTAAGCATGTGACATACAAATTTAATCCTCACAGCAATCCTATAAGGTGGCCTTATCATTGCCCCATTTTACAGATAGGAAAACTGAGGCATGGAAAGGTTATTAGATTTGCCTAAAGTCACACAGCTTGAAATAGAGGAGCTGGGATTTGAACCCGGCAGTCTGACTCAAGGGGGCTCCTGATTCTAGTTGGTGGTCCCAGAATGAGGAGGGGTTTGTGGGGAGGGAGCAAGCTGCTGCTTCTGGATGGGAACAGGCACCCAGTCCCACACTCTCCTCTCCTTGGACAGAAACCGGCAATTATACCTGTGAATTCTGTGGAAAGCAGTACAAGTACTACACGCCCTACCAGGAGCACGTGGCCTTACACGCCCCCATCAGTGAGTACCTTCTCTGGTTGGGGGAAGGGTGGGCCAGCCATAGGCTGAGGCTCTGGAGTTTTGCCAGGGGAGGGTGAAAGCAAAGGTGAACTTGTTCTGGGTCAGCCTCTAGGTGTCCAGGTCTGACCTGGGGCCACCTGACTGCAGGAGCTGGGAAAGCCCCACCCTTAAGCCAGGAAAGCCTGAGTCCTCCCCTGGTGGTCTCAGAGGCCTGGGCCCATGTGGATTTTGGGTTAGGAAGGGTGGGCATCATTCACCCAAGTCCTTCAGCAGCCTTGTCCTCACCTCTTCCAAGCACCTCCAAATCATGTGGTTCCTGAGTCCCCACCCCAAAAGGCAGCACCATGTAATGCAGCTTCAGTCTGAACCAGTGCAGGGCCTAACCCAGGCTAGAGGATGGTCAGTTAGACAAGACAGCTTTGCCCTTGGAGGTGGAAAGGGTAAGAAGTCAGAAGGAGTGCCAAGCCAGCCTCAGAAGCCCCGGGTATTAGTCCCAGTGGAGTCACAGGCATGTGTGTGGCCTTGGGCAGGCCCCCAATCTCTCCCTCCTCCCCTGGCCTGGGAGGGAAAGGGTTCTAAGGATCCATCCCACAAGGACATCCTGGCCTTCCATTCTCCCGATGCAGCTGATTTCCCAGCTTCTCTTTTGGATGTCAGAGGGGGCTGTATCCTTAGATCCCCAAGTATATGAGCTAAGAGGGCCCTCAGTCCTCAGCCAAAGTTCAGCCAGGGCAGGGCTTAACCACATTGCAGGGCAGTAGGGCGGGATGTTTAAGAGGCATTTGGGAGTATCTCTGCTTTTGTTTGTCACAAAAGAGCTATGGGGATCCCACTCCACAGTCTGTGGTTGGGAAGGTTTAGGTTCGCCTCAGGGAGGCGAAGGGATTATGCAAGGTCATCAGAGTGCAAGGTGCCTAGAGTACGGGAGGCCCAACTCTCCTGGAGCACTGGCAGTAGCAGCACAGGCACGTGGGCCCCTGAGGGCTTTCAGGTGGGCAGGGAGGGGTGTCCGGAGCTCAGGTGGTGGAAGGGGTAGCTTCCCCAGGAAGTCCTGCCTGCTGCGCAGAGCGGCAGGACTGAGGGGTCTCCCTCAGATGGGGAGCACCCATCCTTAGGTGGAATACTGGGCTAAGGTTCTCGTGCTGCTCGGCCCCTGACTGCTGGGTAACCTTGGACCTGTCACTTCCCTTCTCTGGGCTCAGGTTTCCCACCGGTGGGAGCTCTCGAGGTCTTTTCAGCCCGGGGGTCTGGATCCCAGTCATCTCCAGTATAAGGAGACCGTCAGGCAGGCATCTGCAGTGGCGCAACTGCAGGAGCCTCTGCTACCACCCATGCTAAGCATGTATGGGTTATTTATTGCCCACCACATGGCCAGGTCCTATGTGGGGGAGAGAGGCCACAGCTTACACTGGGTGGGCACTAACCCATCCATTTGACCCACTCATGGTGCTGGTGCTGAAGCATCAGGGCTGTGGCTTGAGCTCCATGGCTCAGACCCCTCTGGGGATCCCGCTTTCCATGGGCAGGGACAGGGGCAATTGTGTGTGGGTACCTGCTTACCTGTGCTCTCCGGGGAAACAGCACCTGCCCCGCTGCCTGGTGCCCAGAGGGGATGCTACGCAGAATGCACTTACAGTTAGGTGTTAGTTACAAAGCCAGCCTACAACTTGGGTTTCAGCCTTTGGAGAAAACCTTCAGTGCTGTTTCTGCTCTTCCCCCAAATGGCTCTTGCTGGAACAAGTTGAATAAGGTCATGGAGTTAATAAGAGGAGGAGCTTGGCTTGAACCCTGACAGGCAACCTCCAGGCCCATGCTCTTAACCATGAAGTTCTCCTGCATCACATGTCAGATGGTACAGCAGGAAGGGGTGCTTCGTCTGTACCCTGATTACTTCCCTAACATCCAGGTACTTCTCTCCTGAAAGGCTGTCTACTCTTTCTCTGTTCCTCATTTTCTTGTTCTCTCTATTGTGAACTCTCTTTGTCTTTCTGCATCTGTTTGTTGAGTGCATCTCTTCTTTATTACTGAAGTCGAGGGACTCGATGATCATCTGTGTTTAAAATTAGAGAGTGAGAGATTTAGGCTAGATGCAACAGAGGATTGATTCTCCAAAGCTGACCAAGAAATAGCCCCTCCAGTGGCCTTTGGATCTAGATATTTGCACGTCTATGGGCTCTATGTGGAATTGGGGGCTGGACTTGATGGCTTCATCAAGTGGTACTCAGGGCCAGGCCTTGAGAGACCCTGGGTCTCCTGAGAGCATCCAGAGAGGCGTAGGCTGACTGGAAGGAGGTCTAACGAAATGGAGTCATATAATATGTACTCTTTTGGGTCTGACTGCTTTTCACTTAGCAAAATGTTTTTAAGATTCATACACGTTGTATATATCAGTTCATTCTTTTTTTTACTGCTGAGCAATATTCTGTTGTGTGCAAGTACCACAGTTTGTTGAGCCATTTGCTTGTTCATTTGAATTGTTTCCAGTTTTAGGCTATTATGAATAAAGCTGCTATGAAAATGCTTGTACTAGGCCTTCTGTGTTCATTTCTCTTGGATAAATTCCAGGGAGTAGAATTGATAGGTCATAGGGGAGAGTATGTTTACCTTTTTAAGAACTGACAAACCATTTCCCAAGATGACTGTAGCACCTTTCACTCCCACCAGCCACAGATGGGAGTTGCATTTGCTCCAAATTCTTGCCAACAATTTGGTGGTAGGAAGCTATTCTGGTGAGTGTGTAGTGGTATTTCATTGTGGTGTTAATTTGTGTTTTCCTGATGACTAATGATGTTGAGCACTTTTTCATTTGCTTATTAGCCATTCGTATATTTTACTTTGGAAGCTGTTTAAGTCTTTTGCCCATTTTTTTTGGTTGGGTTGTTTGTCTTTTTATTATTAAATTGGAGGAGTTCTTTATATACTCTAGATCCAGGGTCTTTATCAAATATATATATTGTGAACATTTTCTCTCAGTCTTTGGTGTGACTGTTGATTTTCGTATAGTATCTTTTGATGAGCAGTTTTTCATTTTTTTTTTTATTTTATTTTAGTTTTTCATTTTAATGAAGTCTAATTTATCAATTTTTTTATGGGTAGTGTTTTCTCAGTTCTACTCAGGATATCCTTGCCTACCTCAAGGTGGTGAAGATATTCTTCTTTATTATCTTTTAGAATCTTTATACTTTCAGCTTTTACAATTAAGTCTCTGATCCATTTTAAGTTAATTTTCGTGAATGATGAGAGGTATGATTTGAGATTAACTTTATTCCATATGACTGGTTGTTCCTACACCATTTGCTGAAAAGATTGTCCTTTTTCCATTACATTGCATTGAGATCTTTGTTGAAAATCAGTTGAATGCATAAGTACGTGTGAGTTTATTTCTCTTCCACTGATCTATTTGCCTGTGTTGGTGCCAACATGGTCTTATTTACTCTAAGTCTTAAATCAGGTACTCTCAGTTTTTCAACCTTGTGTATTTTTAAGAATATTTTTCTTAAAACAAGGAACTTTGCCTTACAATATAAATGTTAGTCTTATTGCCAATTGCTACAAAAAAATCCAACTGGGATTTTGTTTAGGATTACACTGAATCTATAGACCAGTCTGGGGAGAATAGACATCATAATAATAGTCGATCTTCCACTTCATGAACATAGTATATCTCTCCATTGGTTTAGGTCTATTTAAATTTCTCTCAGCAATAGTTTGTATTTTCAGAGCAGAGGTCTTTTACATATTTCATTGAATTATATCCAAGTATTTTATGGGTTTTTTTGATGCTACTATGATTTTTTTATTTTCCAGTTTTTGTTGCTATGATTTTTATATATGTTGAATTTGTATCCTGCAACTTTGTTAAATTCACTTATTAGTTCTATTAGCTTTTTTCTAAATTTATCAGAATTTTTCTTGTACATACTGATGTCATCTGCTAATAAAGACAGCCTTACTTCTTTTTTTCTAATCTGTATTCCTTTTATTATTCTCTTTCTTCCGCATTATGCTGATTAGGACCCTCCCGTTCAATGCTGAATAAATGAAATGTGTGGCTATCTCTGCCTAGTTCCCAATCATAGGGTTCAGTTTTTCATCGTTAAGTATGATCATTTTCATCATTAAGTATTATGTTAGCTAAAATAGGTTTTCATAGATGCCCCTTTGTCAGTTGAGGAAGTTACCTTCTATTTCTAATTTACTGAAAGTTTTTATCATAAATTGGTATTAGGTGTTTTTTCTACATCTGTTGTGATGATCCTATGATTCTTATCTTTTATTCTGATAATGTGGTAAATTACATGGATTGATTTAAAAAAAATAATAAGTCACCATATCTGTTCTGTATTAAAATACATTGACTATCAGAAAACCATGAAATGAACTAAAGGACATTACAGTGTTGGGATGTTTCTTCTTTTCCAGAAGAATAACTTCTTTTCTTGAGCTTCTTTTTCTTGGAAAGGCATCTAAATTGCTTTGAGACCTAGGGCAGTTTGTAGAGTTAATTTGCTTTCAAGCATGTGTTTTCTGATTACTTCTATCTAAAATTCCCTAGAATTTTACCTGGCTTTTAATATCACTCCCCAGACTGACCCTTCAGTGGCAGGGAACTACAGTCCTAGGATTAGAATAGTGCCCCAAATTCAATCAGTGGTTTGTTAAGCATGCTCATAATCAAGAAAATAAATATTTCTGGTGTTTTTTTTAAAAAACACCTTTATTGAAGTATATTATCACTCAATAAAGTACCGTATTTAAAGTAAACCATTTGATGTTTTGACCTATGTATGCACCCATGAAACCATCACCACAATCAAGATAATGAACATGTCCATCACCCCCAATAGTTTCCTCGTGCCCTTCTGTAATCCCTCACTCACCACTTCCCTACCCCCAGGCAAGCACTGATCTGCTTCCTATTACTCTAGATCAGTTTGTATTTTCTAGAATCTTGCAAATACGGAATCTTATAGTATCTACTCTTTCTGTGTGTGGTGGGG